AGCACCTAAAGCTATAAGAAACTGGAGGAGACAAAGAAGGACCTATCCCTAGAGCCTTCAGAGAGAGTATGGCCCTGTTGATAGTCCTGAATTCATTCTCACCTCCAGAACTGTGAGGGAATAAATTTCTCTTGTTTTAACCCATTCACTTTGTGGGGTTTTGATACAGAGGCCTAAGGAAACTCATATACTCCTCAGTGAGAATTCTTGTTCACAATGAAGAATGGAGGTATTTTCAGATTTTGTTCATTCAACTCAAATATTGGATGCTCACTGTCACAGTGGTATGGATTACAGTGGTGATGGTATTTAGCCTGCCTTGCAAGATTTATCATCTTTCTTATTTTGGTAACAGATTCTTTTTTTCTAGCCACAGTTTGGGCACGTGGCCCAGGACTGGAGTAAATTATCTTATCTTCCCATTAAGGTGTTTGGGCAAAGAGGTGATTCCTTTGGTTGTATGTAGGACCAGTTGGAATCCTTCCCTGGATTTGCTACTTACATGCTGGGAGAAAGAAACTTAAGTGGAAAAGAAGTAGCTACACTGGGCTTGGGGGTGATGTCTTCCCCATCCCATGAGAAGGACTTTTGCAATGACAATCTATTAAACTCACAAAGAGAAGCAGTGTCAAGTTGAAATCCCAGTAAATAAGATGTCCTGGTGGTGGTGTCCCTTGAATTCTCAAATTCTGCATCCTTTTCTTAGATTCAGTGAGCTACCAACTATCAAAGACTGGTAGCTCACTGAATCTAAGAAAAGGATAAATACTATTTTCTATAACCTAAAAAAAGGAAACATAGTTAAAACCCACCAGCCACTCCTCGGAAGGAAGATGGGGCAATCTACTTCCGTAGTGATACTGCCTCCCAAACCCAAGGAGGGGTCGCTATGAGTCGGGTCCGACTCGACGGCACATAACAACAACAACAACATTAGAAAAAAAGTATGTAAAAGAAAAGAGTCAGACCATTGTACAGTGCAGTGATGATTATTTAAGAGTAGGTCTTGATAATTAAATAAATATATATATATATATATATACATATATATATA